TGCTGCTTGGCCTGCTGTGTTCATCCAGCCCTGCACCTTGTTGTCTCGGATTCTCCAGCATCTGCAGTTCCTACTATCTCTGCTGAGTTTCTGTTTTCATTTCAAACAACAATCAGTGATTGGTCAGCAAGAATGTGAGACAGTGATTCTTGTCATATTTCTCTTTAACTAATCCAAGACACATACAGGGTTTTAACATTTTAGCACAATGCCAGCAATGTGCACTATTTCTGTAAAAGTTGTGGACAGAAAATACTTTTCCTCAAGACAATTTTTGACAACCTCCTCCCAGTAAATCAGTGTTAATTCATGCCAGGGAGTATCAACCAGCCTCACCATCATAGAGGACAACTGAAGTTCTGTCTGGAATCAGCTCAGTGTAGACTGTGGCACGCCTAGGCAGTAATCAACCAACAATTACAGAGCAAACACAAGCAGCAAGACAGTCTGATGGTTGTCAGTAAACTGCTCCTCCCAAAATAATACCTGGCAAAGAGAAGGGCTTCAACTGGAGGAGACGTTCCCTCCCCAAAAAAGTGCAAATATTCTATGATCTTGTTCATTCTACCACTGCCCCGACTTGTTTTCCACAGGCACCTTTTTCTGTTGTGCTCCATTTTACCCCTCGCTATTCATCGTCCCTCCCCATTCTGTAATACTGCTAAGGTGTCCTGAGTGCCAATGTGATACTCGTCAACAAATATGGATCAGAGCCACACTACACCAAGAGGGAATAGCAATGAGATTCACCTAACAAAAATACAAGTGATTTCACGTCTGATTTCTCCCAATTTTTGAAGCTGACAGGTATAGATCATTCATGTTATTTCTCAGTGGACCAAGACCACACTGGTATAATTACTCAGTAAATAGAATCCTGACTATGGAATACCTCTATCACTCGTACTCCACTACAAGTCTTGCATTTTGTCACATCTGTCACACTTTGAAAAGTTCACAATTTTTATAAGACAAGTATTTTGTTCTGGCTCTTAGCAATTTTCATATCATCCTCACCAGCAATAATGACACTCTCACTGACCTAGAGTAGTTAGACTTGACAGCCTGAAAAGACAGGCCACCACTAAAAGCAGCTTTAACTGAACAGCAGTAGGTTACATTCTGCAATACATGGTATATAGTACATACTAATCTAAAAAAACATGCATCACCTAACTCACAGAGGATCAGCCAAGGAGAATTTAAGGAGATGCACTTTCTAAAAAAAAAAGTAATTAAAGCAATTTCAACACTGTACCTATCGATTAAGTTCCAGCCTGTAACTCACACCCAGGTATTGTTCTATATTTAAAGCTCCAAGCTTTTGGACAAATTCGTCTGTAACAAATTCCTAGGTGTCTGTTATTCCATTTATAAACAATAAAACCCCTTGATTACAATTCAGTCTGTAACTTATTCCCAAGTACCTGTTATTCTACATAGAACCTAATGAACCCCTCAATTAGCTTTCGGTCTGTAACTCACTCTCAATTACCTGTTGTGGCATATATAAACCACCTAAACCCTTCGATTAGTTTCCAGTCTGTAACTCCTGGGTTTCCAATGTTGTGTACGGGTTTGTCCTGGTACACATTAGGGTGAAATGAACCATCTCAACCACGATACAGCAGAATCGCTGAGCAGCTATTTGATGCGATTTGCCAAGACGTCTTCTCAATCTTTGCTCAGTTACTAGAACGAATTAGGTGATTTGCTCAGTTAGTGAGACTGCTTTGTTATATTATACAAGGTGAAAAATGATCACACTCTACACATGGGCTGTTCAGAGACCACATGAGGCGCTGAATGAAATGTGCTTATTTAAATAGTCATTAATTGGTTAAAGGTGCAAATTCTTCATTATTTCAGTCTTCATTTCCGCTGGAAACTTTTTGTTTTGTAAGAAAAACAGGATTTAATTTTTATTGTGTTTTTTTTTGTGGGGGCTTGGAATGTTAAGTTGAACAGGCCACTGGTTGTAAATGTGCCGGACAGGCTAGGCCTCGTCTGATTGTCTTTTCTCTCTCTCTCTGGTCAGGTGGACCCGCATCAACTGCCTGGGCTTCCTAAAAGAAACCTACAAAAAACAAAGGGTTTGGAGAGGGGGTAGAATTGGAAATTTAAAAAAAAAGGAAAAGATTAACAATATGAAGTCTTTTCTGTTAAAGGCAGAAATGCAGATCACACCAAAATGTGAAAAGCAGATTAGACATCAGCAATTATACATCAAACAAACTCTTTTCTTGGTGTTAAGAATGATCAGCATTGACTAGGATCAAAACTGGGAGCTTCTGATCTGGGAGACTGCACTGCAGTCCTGGACTCCAGACAGGTCCCAATTCTGATCTCTGTTATCACATGGAATAGTTAACTTTCTTCTGCCTTTAGAGGGAACCTGACTGGAGTAGAAATTACATCATATGGAAAACAAGCATCTTAACATAACACTTAGAGATTTCCCGGACTGGTTTTGATCCTGGCAAGTCGGACAGCAATTTTCTACGAGTAAATTTTCTTTACTGCCTTATATATTGGCTGTGGTGAAGGAGTGGAGGAGGAAGTTTCTGTTTGTGATGACATAGACATCATGAAGCATGTTCTGAGGAAGGGTCGCCGGACCCGAAATGTTAACTGACTTTTTTCTTCACAGATGTTGCCAGACCTGCTGAGCTTTCCCAGCAATTTCTGTTTTTGTTCAGGAGGCATGGCCAGGTTTTGATGCTGGAGCTGGTCTTAACCTCTCAGGTGTCTCTCTCTCACCATGGACGTGTCTTTTTGGGCAGATCTGCAGCTGGGTTCCTAATTTTAAACAATGTGCAGTTCGATCATACACATGAATGCCTTGACTTAGTTCCTGCCTTCTGGGGAGATAGCCGAACCTGGTCACAGGGTGGACAGCAGGTTTACAAAGGTGTTACTGATTTGAGTAATGCAGTTTACAGTAATGGGGGAACAGGCTGGGAAGAGGGGACAGAGGGAGTGTGGTTGGAAGCTCCCTTGCACTTCTGAAGCACATGAGGTTACTAAGAACGAGAACCTATAAAGCTTTCAAACCATCCAACACATGGTGGCCCTTCGCAGTGTTGCTGTGGCTGTGATGAATGAATGCAGTGGCACTGCACTGCACCACTCAATTGTTCACGGCCTCATCCTCTGCCCCCTCCAGTCACCAAGTAAAAAACCCATACATACCATTCTCCCCGAGCTCTCACCGCTTCCTTCCTCACCAGTCGCTTTTTGTCATCTAAGGGTTTGGCCAGGGCTTGGATAACCCGGGATTTGTGGGGCAGGATCTGTAACGATCAGGCAAATTTTAAAGCACATGTTGTATACAAACCTGGCTTTCACAGGGAACGACAATGGATACAAACAGCAGGATTCCGTCCAGTTTTCTGTACAATTATCACAAGTATGTTCATCAATATTTTAAGAGGAATCCACACACAAATTTGGCAGAAATTCTAAACAGGTGAAATCCTTGCAAACACATTTCTGGTGCTCCCACGTGTAGCCACCAAAGAAATTGCCATGCAACAGGTATAATAAAGAGAGTTACACTTCAATTTGGTAAAGATGTAGTGTTATGGAAAGGGCAAGTGATCAACATAAACACATCATCAGGGAAGAGCAATGAAATAGCTGGAGCAGGTTAGATATAAAGACACCAAGGTTTATTGCCTTGCCCAACATTGTTGATGTCAAACAGCTAGGATAAGCAGGATACTGGGCTGTACTGACAGGACAACTGACAAATAGACAAGGCTTATTATAATGAACAATCTGGGTCAGGTCTTGGTTGGATCACGGTGTCCACTTTTGGATTTCTCACAGTGGTTTGATATTGCAGCTTTAAAAAGCGTGCAAGAAGAGGGACACAAGGTCAATAACCAGATTGAAGCATTCTGTTATCAAGATATACATCAGAGATACGGACCTCACCCCTTTGAGAAAAATAGAAGTCCGTGCAGTTAGGTTAACGTTTAAAAAATTTGGAAGGGATGAAATTGAAATGTGCTTAGTAGCCAGTATGTTTCAAGCCATATATAGCTGGAACTAAGTTAGCGATCAGGAGGCAGATCTTTTCCCGGAGATTAGTTAACTCTGGAAGTAGGCTACTGCCTTGTGCACTTTGCTGAATCTCTTCAAGTTACAGCTGGACCTGTTTCTGGCTAGAGAGGAGATCACTTCATACAGGAGGTAATATGCAACATTAATCAGGAACAAAGTGATCTGGACTAGTTTCAATCCCAGAAGGGTGTGAGATTTGAATCTTTCTCCCACAAGGTCACCTGGGGTGGGAGTAAATATATTTGATGCTCACTGCTCAGAGGATCATAATTGAGAGGGGCAGGTTGAAGTCACTGTTTATTTATATTTCAAGGGACAGCGTATTCTATAAAAAATAATGAATTAGCATAGATATGCATTTAGAAACCACATCCAGTTACAAAACAGCATCAGACTATGCCTCTTTATTGATACGGCAGCGCCAACAGAGCAAGTGCAGCTCTGTCAGAGGCGCTGTCCTTCGAGTGAGACATTAACCGAGATCTTGCCTGTTTCAGTACGTGAAAGATCCCATGGAACTATTTAGAGAAGCAACAGGGAATCCAACTCAATCAGCACCAAAAACAGAAAAAACACAGCACATCACTAATTTCGTTGGTAGGTGAGATTATACTATGCACAAGATGTCTGTTAACTTTATTTACTTAACAAAAGTAACTGTATCTTGAAGAAAGAAATAATTACACGATAAGTGTCTGTGCAAACACAAGTCTAATAGACAACATGATAGATGATTAATTGTATAAACCTTACCACATGTGGCGGCAGCTTGGTCAGTGCATGCATGCACTGTAAGGATGCAATACGGACTTTCTGCAATTGAAACACAGGCAAACAAGCATCAAAGGTGAGGCGCACCTTTCCAACACAACACTGATACATGATTGCACTATCATCATCACTGAGGCATCTCTATTTGGACTCTACCTTAAATGAAGCATAAAGGATGAAACCAGCAAGTGTTGTCCTAATTGGCTTCGCTGACTGAAGCAGAAAGCTCAAAAACTTATACAAATTTACGATAATGGCCACAAGAACCAGAGGTGACACGACGGGAGCTGCTTTCACACAGCAAGCTGTGATCTGGAATATGCTGCCTGAAATGGCAGTGAATCAATGGTAACTTTCAAAAGGGAACTGGATAAATAACTGAAAACATAAATACTTCAGCATTATAGGGAAAGGGCAGAGAGGAACTAATTGAACCAAAAGAATGGACAGAGGCACGATGGATTGAGATACTGCCTGCAATGTACAATTCAACGGCACAGAGATGTGCTAATGAACAGTTGCATGTGTAAATACTCAGCTCAAAAGCTACTACTTGGATAATTTTACTTTAAAGGCACAATATAAATACAGTTGTTGCAAGAGGTCCATAAGACGCAGGTACAGAAGCAGGCCATTCAATCTAACAGATCTGCTCCGCCATAAGATGAAATCGTGGCTGATCTGACTATTGTCAACTCCATTTGCCTGCCTTATCCCCATAACCCTTGGTTCACTTAATGATTAAAAATCCGAGTTTCTCAGCCTTGAATACACTTAATGACCCAGCCTCAACAGCATTCTACAGAAAAGAACTCCACAGATTTGCTACACTAAGAAGAAATTCATCTTAAGTGGTCAAGTCACCAATGAATCTGATGCACCACAGGCTAATAAAATATATGACCATCAAGTCTTGAGAACACAATAAAAGCATCAAAAAGGAAAAATGCCCTTCGCCTCAGGGACCTCAGGTTTCTGTTCCTGGGTAAACCCAAGAAAAGACTGCATAAGTTGGATCTGATAATCGAGGAAAGTCCTCGATCAAAGCCACACAGTGTTCCAGCTGTCTATACATACCATGGCAGGGCTAGAAGTCAGATTGAGCAATTTGTTCACTAAGGTCTCCACATGCAAGCTCATAGTCTGAGTGGCGTCCAGCAACAGAGGATGCAAGCAGCCCAGCGTGGACAACTGAACCACCTGGTCTGAGCAGGACAGGGCCTCCAACAACAGAGTCAGCAGCTGGAGAAGGAAAAGGAACGATAGTTAAAACTAGCACAAATGAAATGCACGGCTGATGTAGAATGATACCAATCACACATGTCTATTAATGTGGATATTTTCTAATTAAACTGTTCAAAGACATTACTACACACCTCCAGAGCAGATGGGATTTGAACTGAGGCCTCCTGGCTGAAAGTTTGAGACAATACCACTACATCACAAGAATGACACACCCATCAATGTAAACTAGCACCAGTCACACACTCCTAGTGATATAGAGTCATACAAACGTACAGCATAGAAACAGACCCTTTGGTCCAACTCGTCTATGCCAACCAGATATCATAAATTAATCTAGTCCCATTTACCAGCATTTGGCCCATACCCCTCTAAACCCTACCTATTCATACACCCATCCAGATGCCTTTTAAATGTTGTAATTGTACCAGCCTCCATCACTTCCTCTAGCAGCTCATTCCATACACACACCACTCTCTGCGTGAAAAAGCTGCCCCTTAAGTCCCTTTTAAATCTTTCCCCTTTCACCTTAAACTTATGCTGTCTAGTTTTGGGCACAAATCCCTGGGGTAAAGACTCCATCCATTCATCCTATCCATGTCCCTCAATTTTATAAACCTCTATAAGGTCACCTCTCACCCTCTGGCACTCTAGGGAAAATTGCCCCAGCCTATTCAGCTTCTCCCTTTAGTTCAAGCTCTCCAACCCCGGCAACATCCTTATAAATCTTTTCTGAACCCTTTTAAGTTTCAACAACATCTTTTGTACAGCAGGGAGACCAGAGTTAAATGCAGTATTCTAAAATTGGCCCATCCAATGTCCTGTACAGCTGCAATATGACCTCCTAACTCCTATACTCAATGCACTGACCGATAAAAACAAGCATACCAAACACTTTCTTCACCACTCTGTCTACCCACGATTCCACTTGCAAGGAATTATGAAACTGCACCCCAAGGTGTCCTTGTTTGGCAACACTCCCCAGGACCTTACCATTAACTGTACAAGTCCTGCCCTGATTTGCCTATCCAAAATGCAGCACCTCACATTTTTTCTAAATTAAACTCTATCTGCCACTCCTTGGCCCATTTTCCCATCTGATCAAGGTCCTGTTGTACTCGGAGGTAACCTTCTTCACTGTCCACACCATCACCATTTTGGAGTCATCTGCAAACTTACTAACCATACCTCCTATATTCACTGGCATCAATCACACACTCCATTGATATAAAACAGCATCAATGACTTCTGGCTGGTGCAGTAAAGTGCTAAGTGGAAAGAGAGGGAGAGGGTTTAATACAGGAATGCCATTTAATCACAGTATCACAACCCCAGCAATGTGGTTGACTCTCAATTGCCCTCTGTGCAATTAGGGATGGGCAATAAATGCTGTCTAGCCAGCAATGCCCTCATCCTGTGAGCAAATAAAAAAGAAAACATGCATAACACAGAGGTGAACAAATGACTAACAGGAATGAAGCTGCCCAGATTCCACAAAAGGCACAAAGCCCAAAGGGTGAAAAAGGCTTTTACTGACCGACGGGAGCTCTGTCATCAGGACCTGCTTCGGAAGACTGTTCAAAACGTGAGAAAGTGCCTTCAGGTAGTTTGACTTATTATCTGTAACAAAGCAAGTGCATTGTCCCAGGGTTAGAGTGAATGCATCAATGCCAACATACCAGTGTCAGGGTGAAAATGCCAATGCTAGCATCAACTGTGCTTATTTAACAATCAAGAAGGGCACTGATTCTCCCATAGCCCCGCCCCACGACAGCTCTGTAACTAACATCATTTCACCTTGGAACTAGACTGCTCAAAAATCCTCCCTCCAGTCACAATCCATACTTCACAGTCTGAACTATAATTATACTAAACACTGCTCTTGCAGACCGGTAGCAAACTGTAATTATTTTATTCTCCATTTCCTTCTGTGAAAGGTGCACACATACTCCTAAAGCCGGTGACTCCCAGGACAGAGACTGCATGCTCCAGGATACGGGGACTGGATTTCCGAGACCCCAGGATGCAGTGTGGGTCCTGCCCCAATACTCAGTCCTATTGCAAACAACAGCCGGTCCTTTTCTCTCATTTGCCAATTAACCCATTGCGCCTTCCTTCGCTCTAGAATTTCTGTTCCATCTGTGACTGCAGTCATGGATCACCTTCACTGGCTGAGTGGAAGCCCTGGACCAGCTTGGGGACATTCTCAGTGAAGAATCGCTGCCGGTACATAATGCGAATGTCAGCGTGAGTGGCCTTGTTCAGGACATCCGAGGAGTCACTGACCAACACAGAGAATCCGTCTGCTGCATCAGTTCCCAGATCGGGGTCAGTGAGCAGCTGTATCAGCTAGGGCAAAAGGAGAGATTGAAGTAAGTGTGATGGGAAATGGGAACAGGCAGATTTGGGAGAGATTAGAAAGAAAACAAGCTCCATGTTGTGTACTAGATCAGAGAGAAACCTCTTACCTTGTCAGTCAATATGGCAGCTAGAGAATGATAACGCAGCACAAGTGCTTTTGTTAACTAGGGAAATAATACAAAAAAAGAGGAGGTTGTTAGACAGAGCAGAATACTGCCCGCATTCACATCCCAAGGATGTCAGAAACATCATTTGAATGCATCCAGATTGATTACAATAAAAGGACGTTAAACTTACAGGTGAGCAGATGGCTAAAAGCTAATCATTTCATATTTTTAACAACTATTTTTCATTCATGAGATTTGGGCTTTGCTGACTGGGCCAGCATTTCTTACCAATCCCCAGTTGTCTTTGAGAAAGTGGTGGTGAGCTGTCTTCTTGAACTGTTGCAGCCCATGAAGCGTAGGTAGACTCATGGTGCCGAAAGTGAGAATTCCAGGGTTCTGACTCAGCGACAATGAAGGAACGATGATATATTTCCAAGTCAGGATGGGAAGTGCTTTGGAGGGGAACTTGCAGGTGGTTGTGTTCCCACATACCAGCTAGTCCTTCAAGACAGTAGAGATCATGAGCTTGAACGGTGTTGTAAATGGAGCCTTGGTGAGCTGCTGCAGTTCCTCGTGTAGGTAGTACACACTGCTGCCACTGCGTGTCACTGAGTAGGGAGTGGTGGGGGGGAGGTGGGTGAATGTTTGAGATGATGATGAGATACATATCAAGCAGGCTGCTTTGTCCTGGACAGTGGGAACCTTCTCGAGTGTTGTTGCAGCATTTTCATGCAAGAGTATTCTATCAGACTCCTGACAGGATTTGGGTAGTCAGGAAGTGAGTTAGCCATGCAGACTTTCTAATCTCTGACCTTTCCCTTGTACCCACTATACAGTCAGCTCAGTTGTAGAGTAATGTCAACAGTGTGGGTTCAATTCCCATGTCGGCTGAGGTGATCATGAAGGAGTCTCCTTCTCAACCTCTCCCCTGTCCTGAAGTGCAGTGACCCTCAGGTTAAAGCACCACCAGTCATCTCTCTCTAATGAGAGTGCAGCCCTATGGTTTGGTAGGACTATGGCAACTTTATCCTGACCTATTTATGTGACTGGCTCAGTTCAGTTTCTGGTCAGTGGTAACCCCCAGAATGTCGACAGTAGGAAATTCAGCAATGCTAGGAAAGGTATTTTCCCAAATGACCACTCCTGGGACCATTTGCCACCTTTACTAGCATATGGTACTGAGTAAGGATTGTTTGAGGTAGTTTACTGTCACCAGTTTTCCTTTGTCTTTGCTTCGTCTGGGGTCTATCTAGTGATTAGTGGTGGAGGACAATGTGAACAGAAGAGGCTCTGTTTTCAGATAACAAGAAGGATTACTGCACAATAGCATTAAACACAAAGACATCTGGTCAGGCATCCTTCCTAGAACCTTAGCAGCTGGTATAGCTGTATCTACTTCCTCCAAAAACTAGAGTAAGACCATAAGAAATAGGAGCAGATTTAGGCCATTCAGCCCATCGAGTCTGCTATGTCAATGTGTTTCTCAAATCCATTCTCCAGCCTTCTGCCTGTCACCCTTGATCCCTTGAATAATCTAGAACCTATCTACCTCGGTCTTAAACACACTCAATCACTTGGACTCCACCGCCTTCTGTGGCAATGGTTTCCACAGATCTACAACCCTCTGGCTGAAGAAATTCCTACTCATCTCAGTTCTAAAGGGTTATCCCTTGACTCTAAGGCTGGGCCCTTGGGTCCTAGTATCTCCTACTAATGGAAACATCTTCTCCATGTCCACTGTATCCAAGCCTCTCAGTATTCTGCTAATTTCAATCAGACCCCCACCCCCTCACCCCCTCACCTCTTCAAAATTATTAAGTACAGACCCAGAGTCCTCAACTGCTCCCCATATGACAAGCCCTTCACCTTTGTGAACCTCCTCTGGACCCCATCCAAGGCCAAGATACAAGGCTCAAAACTGCTCTCAACACTCCAAATGCAATCTGACCAGAGCCCTATATGGCCTTAGTACCACACCACGGCTGTTGTAATTTAGCCCTTTTGAAATGAAATGAATGCTAATATTGCATTTGCCTTCCTAAGTGCCAAAATGAACCTGCATGTTAATCTTAGGAGAACGCTGAGTTGAATGCCTTGTCTCCACGCACACTATATGTGACATCAATAGGATGGGTGGAACTTGTAACATGAATATTAACCTTATCAGAGCCACTATTCATATAACAGTGGGTAATCAAAATGCAGTGCAGTCTGCCGGGAAAGACACTAGAGAATGAAGGAAGTGGTATTGGCAAATATAAAGAGGTACTGAATCTCAAACTTGCATCACAGAAGAAAAAGGCTGTTTGGCCCATCACGCATGTGTCAGCTCTCTGAATGAGCAACTCATTTATACCCATTCCTCCAACTGCTAAAACGTTTCAGTATTCATTGTCCTCTTCAAAACAGTACAGATCCTGCTGCAGTTTCTGGTAAATCCCTTTGTAAATTGTGAACTGCTACACTGAGTCATTGGATAGCATCTGGGAGCAGGAACCCTGGCTGATTTTCCCCATGCTCCTTCACCCAAGAATGTCCAGAGAAGCTGAAGTGCCTGTGCTCGGATACAATAGTTGTATAATGCAGCAAATGTATAGTCTTAGTTGAGTGTAGCACTTGAAATTCGCATGTTTGAGAGTTCAATTCTCACTCCAAAAGCTCAAGCACAAAATCCAGGGTGATACTCTTGGTACCAGTTCTAAAGAAAGGTTGCACCATCAGTGGTGCTGTGAAATAAAAGGTGCCATGAAATGAAGGTCCTGCTTGTCCTCTCAAAGAGGAAAAGGGTCCACAGTTACTAGTTTGACAAGAAGCAAAGAAGTTCTCCCACGTCCCGGTCATCCATCAGGAATCACGAGAGGACAAAAGTAATTGTTAATTATCACATTGCTGCTTGTGGGAGGTTGCTGTGCACAAACAGGCCAATCGTCTATTCCAAAAGTGACTACAATTACTTTTTTAGTTCATAAAAGGCACTATATAAATACACATTTTTCAAAAATCTAATAACTATAACCACTGGCATATAAATTCCTTACCCACAGCAGCAAGGTGAAAACCCGGGTCCTGCTAGTGGCCTGTGTACAATCTCCAGCGTTCCTCTCCAGCCCACTGTCAATTTTTTTCAACACATCTTGGAGAACAGAATCCAATTGTTCACCTACAAACACACACGGGGAAAGAATTAATCACAAGACAATCACACTCAACCTGAGCTGAGGCTCCTGCAAGTGGAAGTGGTTTAAAAAAAAGCCAAGAAGCTGAAGTTGTCTCTCAAATACTATTTTAAGAATCTAAGAACTAGGAGCAGGAGTAGGCAATTCAGCCCCTGGAGCCCGCTCCACCATTCAATATGATTGTGGATGATCTCATCTCAGCCTCGACACCACTTTCCTGCCCGCTCTCCATAAACCCTTCAACACATTATGAATTGAAAATCTGCCTAATTTGTCCTCAAATGTCCTGGCATTTACTGCATCACATTCCACAGATTCATAACACTTTGAGAGAAGCAATTTCTCATGTCTGTTTTAAATGTGCTATCCTTTATCCTTATGGATAAACTCTGATATGGATATCCAATTAGATAAAACTTATTAAGTCAAAAATAAATATAGCGTTTATGTGAAGGGGTGTCACATGACATAATCCCAGATTTGAAGTAATTCACTCAGCCTTCACTTCCAGTGCAAATTCTTAGGTCAACATTTATCTTAAAGCGCCCATGTTATTTATCCATTGCAATTACAGCCTCTTGCAACTGGCTCTGCTGCCACTAGAGGGAGCACAATTACAAAATGATAGTTTACACAAGCAATTTCCCATTGCAAATCCAGCCACAGAATTATACCAGAACCACAGTGACATAGAAATGAATGCACACACAAAATCTCCAATGCAGAAACCTCAAGCTACTGTGTTCTTCACCACTAAGATAGCAAAGAATACTGAGCTGTTCCCGATGGTGAGGGTGTCCCAAACCAGGGGTCACAGCCTGAGCATTCGGGGTAGACCATTTAGGACGGAGATACAGAGATGTTTCTTCACCCGAAGAGTCGTGAGCCTGTGGAATTCATTATCACAGGAAGTAGTTGATACCAAAACACTGGCTGTATTCAAGAGGCAGCTAGATATAGCGTTTGGGACGAATGGGGAGAAAGCAGGATTCAGCTATTGAGTTGGACAGTCAGCCATGATCGTGATGATTGGCAAAGCAGGCTTGAAGGGCAGAATGGCCTCCTCCTGCTGCTATCTTCTTTGTTTCTATACCTCAAGAACCATTTTTTAAAAGGAGGCAGTGAGGTACGAATTGTTGGTGTTCATGGCTGGTTTCCCCTTATCTTTGTGACAGAAAGGTCGTATACATAAACGGCAGAGGCTGGTGACTGTCTCCCAAAGCCTGCCTACTGTCTACAAGATACAAGTCAGGATGTGACGGAATACTCCTCAGTGGCCAGAATGAGTACAATTTCAACATGTGAAGAGGCCTGACACCATCCAAAATAAAGCAGCCTGCTTGATTGGCACTCATCCTCCAGCTTTGATGGTCACTCTTTCCACCAATGCAAAGTGACAGCAGTGTGTAGCATTTCTGGGATGCACTGCAGCAACTCATCACACCCAGAACTTCGACCATCTAGGAGGACAAGGGCAGCAGGTAAATAGGAACACTACCACCTGCAAGTTTGCCTCCAAGCAACTCACCATCCCGACTTGGAAATATATTGCATTCCTTCAGTGTCACTGGGTCAAAATCCTCAAGCTCCTTCCTTAACAACATTATGTGTCTCCATATAACATGTGGAATGCAGCGTTTCAACACAACTTTCTCAAAGGCTTCTGAGGAAGGGTCACTGGGCAGAGGAATTGGTGGAGGCTGGTACAATTACAACATTTAAAAGGCATCTGGATGGGTTAATGAATAGGGAGGGTTTAAGAGGGATATGGGCCAAATGCTGGCAAATGGGGCAAGATTAATTTAGAATATATGGTCAGCATGAAAGAGTTGGACCCAAGGGTCTGTTTCTGTGCTGTACATCTCTTTGACTCTATGACCTGAAATGTTAACTAATTTCTCTCCACAGATGCTGCCAGACTTGTTGAGCTTTTCCAACAATTTCTGTTTTTGTTTCTCAAGGAGCATTTAGGAATGGGCAACAAATAGTGGCCTCGCCAGTGATTCTGCTGAGAGGTGCTGCTTATTAAGGTTAAGGTGCCTTTTCTTTTTAAATCAACAGAGGATCTCGAGTTAAAACCTGAATGCAGCTTTCAATTAAACTGATATGTACCAGGGAACATTTGGAATGACTCACCAATATAGTGACAGCACACAAACCACCTTTGCAACAAACATCCAACAGTTGTGCATAATGTGTAAGGAAATGGTTGCCGAACGATGCATGCCACCCATGAATGAATAAATAAAAGTCTTGATTGCAGAATATTGAGTAATGAGCTGATTTAGATCACTACTTCTCGCCTGGGAAAAGAAACGCTTACCCAGATCCCATTCTCACCTGCAGGGTATTTGTTGATAAGGCCAGCAATGCATTTGGCAGCAGACGTGTAAGTGAATCGATGGTCGCTGGTGCAAGCTAGCTCCATGAGTTGTACCAGCAACTTCTCCTGTTGTGGCACTGTTATCTGCAATAAAGAAATGCTTCTGTAACTTAGCAATTAGTGATCTAAGATTTAAGAAATGAAATTAGACCTCATTCAGAGTTGTCCTCTCTCATGTTGTTATCAAAAAGAAAGGACTCAGTAATGGGATTAGAACTTTACTACAGTGTGTGTGTATATATCTCCACACTTGGCATTCAGAGCAGCACTGTTTAAGTATATGCAGATTAGAATCATAGAATCCCTACAATGCAGATAGGGGCTATTTGGCCCATCAAGTTTGCAATGACCTTCTGAAGAGCATCCCTTACCCCCACCAAGCCCTACAAACCCACATTTACCATAGCTAATCCACCAAGCCTGCACAACATTGGACACTTAGGGGCAATTTAGCACGGCCAATCCACCTAACTAACACATCTTTGGACTCTGGGAAGAAAGAAACCCATGCAGACAAGGGGAGAACATGCAAACTCCACACAGTCAGTCACCAAAGGCTGGAATTGAAGGCGGGTCCCTGGCACTGTGAGGCAACAGTGCTAACCACTGCACCACCATGCTGCCCTCTATGCTGTTTCAAACACTCCCAATTATATGGTCTAGACAGAGTAAAGCTTGCTCTACACTATCCCCATCAAACGCTCCCAAAGGAGGTACAGCACAGGGCTAGACCCAGACTAAAGCTTCCTTTGCATTACCCAACCCAACCTCAAGTGTACTTATCAATGTAATAGTTCCATTTACTAACATGCCATCTTTGTATTCTGCAAAACAAGGAGCGTCAACTTATAAACAGTTTTTGTTTGGTGGACTTGTCTTAACCGTTCACCTCATCAAAATGGTTGAAATGGACCAAGATGACCCAAGCTCCAAGGAGGAGAAGAACATCTAGTGATTGTGATAATTTTGCTTGTTTAGGTCAGGTTAAGACTCACATTCTTTGGCAGGGAGCAGACAGCAGCTTGCAGGAGGGCAATCAGCTGAGTTTGTGGCCACGGAGAATCCGGTGACTGGAAAACAAAGGAAGAAAATTTTACAGCCTACAGTGAAACATTTCAATTTCTCAATTCTGTATAACTTCTGACTCCCATTATAAATCACTGCTGAAAGGTGGAATGGCCCAAGCTCCACTGTATCGAGCTTTGGATGACAGTAGGGGAAGTATAAGGCTGCTTTCAATTGCAGCATTGAGAGGTGCTGGATCCTCTTCTTAATTCTGTGGAAGGAGGAAAGTGCTTGGATTTGTAACACCTTTTGTTTCAGGAGCCCTGTGTGAGCATCAGGCATTCCTTGGTCAGATTAAAAAATGGAACTCCCTGGGCTCCATCCCAACATAGATTCTCTGCAAGTATAGGCCAATCCCATGGCATCCCCAAGACTGGTTGTATATTAGAGCCTCACGTTAAGCAGTTTGTCATCCCATAGATGAATGGAATTGTCTTTAAAGTACTTAGTCACGTTTTGCTCAACCACATATAAGTGTCTATTTAATGGGATGAGTGGGGTGAGGGGTGGAGTGATGAACCAATTCTGTGACTTTCAGCACATTAGGTTTCTGAGTAAGTCTGCAAGCTAAGAC